ATACTTTAAGTTTGATTTGAATATACCTAGCCCAAATTGGGCTCGACCCAAATAAGTTTGGCCTATCCAAATTATCGGCTCTAATTCTAGATTCAAAACCAAAAGATAATCTATGAGATACAAGCACAAGTTCATCATTGTCTAGTTTTGGGTCAAGTTGATTGCGTGATAGTTTTTGACCTATATATTTTGTTTATCACAAAGAAATTTGGATTGGTTATAGAGGACATGATAAGATTTAAAATGAGTCCTATTTCGTTATGAACAAAGAAGGATAGAAAAAGTTACAAGTTTTGTAACTTGAGGCCAGAAATCTAGAAATTATTGAAAGTAATTTTAGCTAAAGCAAACTTTGATTGTGATTCTAGAAGTATGAGTTCCTAGAGTTGTTCATGTAATATTTTTATCTTAAAATTAAGTTTAATATGAACAAATGGACACAGAGTCATGCTCAAATGATATTTATAGAATCAGTTATGAATTTTTAAATTTTGGGTGTGAAATATGGAAAAACCTCAGGGAATGATTGTAACACACCAAATTTTTGAACCAATTTTTTGCAAAATTATTAGTTCAATAAACTATTCCTAAGTCATTGAACCCTTACCATAGTAGGAAAAGTTCTACCATGGTAATACATAACAAAACCTTCTCTATTTTTCTTAAAAACTTTACCATGGTAGAAAAGAACTTATCATATAAATAAAATATTTTACAAATAGCCTATCATGCTAAAAAGAATTTATGAAAATGAATAAGTTCTATCATGATAATTGAAAATATATTTATATTAAAATTTTATCTAATGGAAAATAATATAAAACAATTTATATCAAGGAAAATAAATTTTAAATCAAAATTTAGCGCAAAAGCCTATCCCAAGGTGGCAAAATCCCAAACAATTTATAAATACAAATTAAAACTAACATGATATTCTCTCATATCATGTTAGTTATTAAATTTAATCTATCATATAAATTAAATTTTAACTAACATGTCATAACATAACATAATATAATATAATATATATCACATATACATATTATATTATATATACACGAATATATATATACATATATATTTTGAAAAAATATATATATATTATATTTAATTTTATATATCATATACATATACATATATATATATATATATTAGATACACACACACATAAAGATATATATTTCAAAAAGATATATATATATATATAATTATATTTCAAATTTTATATTTTATATAAATATATATAAATATTTATCAAATAAGTATTCAAACATATATATATATATAATTTATTCACCCTATATTACATTCATTGAATCTAGAAGAAGGAAAGAAGAAGAGTTGTTCTCCGTGCCAGATGTCGCGATGCGTGGTTGCTCTTCCGCAGCGCATGGAGAAAAATTCAAATGTAATGGGCTCTTCTATGCCATGCACCGTGGTCCACAGCCAAAATTTCTAATAAATCAGTTTGTGTGCTGCGTAAAAAACATAAGAGAAAAAGAAGAAGAAAACAAAGAGCTCAACTTTGGCTCTGCTAGGGCACGGCATTGGGTTCTATTATTGATAGATTAAAGCTCCCAAACACCCATGGTGAGTTTATGGTGCTTTCTTCTTCCTTTCTCCCCCTTATTTATGATGATTTAAGGTAGGGTTTGAGTTGAGAGATGGATTTTCAGTCTATAAGAGTATAGATCTGATTCCATTGATTAAAATAAGTATAATAGGAGTTGTTTAATGTATTGAAACACCACATTAATGATTTTGGAAGGAATCGGCCTATGTAAGCATTTATTATCCGAAAATTGATATTTATGAGGTAGTTGAGAGAGGTTTATGTACATTAATGATGGTTTAAGGTGTTGTTAATGATAATGTGCATTTATAAAATTTAATGAGCCCATTAGGTATGAATGAGTAGTGATTATGAGTTGATAAAAATAGTGTGTGCAGTTTAAGTTGATAAAGCTTTAAGAGTTAGACAATGATGATATTCTTGTGGTATGGATGTAGAGAGGTTTGTTTTTGGCACCATTCGAGCTTGTTGAAGCTTTAGGAAGTTGGTATAGTAAGGGGTATACCTTTGACCTCTCAAAGGTTTAAAATAACTGGGGAAAACTTAACTGTTATGGTTGAATATTAATTGTATTTTGTGAAATATGATGAATGATTTAAATGTATGACGCATGTTGGCAATGTTTGACTTGTGAAATGATTTTTGGGAAAGAAAATGTTGATTTATGCCACTTACTTGTGATTTAAAGGTTTACTTATGGTATATTGTTACAAAAGTGGAGATTTGTGGTATATAATATGTTGAATGTGGGAGTAATTTAAATGAGTATGTGAGATAGTTTGCCATGAATTTATTATTAAAATGCTTAATATGTGAGAATTGTGCATAGCATGATCATTGGCGGAAGTTTACCTAGAGAGAGGAGTAGATTGGTTGAAATCCACGTGGTATTGACAGTGACCATTAGAATCAGGAACTAACCTTGGCACCAACTGTTGGAATCCCATGGTTATTTTGGGACTGTTCTACTTGTTCTATGAGGGACTTGAACCTAATTAATCTTCACCGGTTTATGAGGAGGCTAGATTTAGGGTACGACACCCCATGGTTGTTAGTATTGGGGAAAATTGAATTAAACAAGTGAGTGAGTTTACCTTGGCCCGATAACTCCTCACAAGTCAAAGGTTGTGTTAGTCTGTGAAGGGCGTAGCTACGTGATAGCCACCGGTTTCGTGTCGGAGGTAATAGGAGGATATAAGGTTGGCATCTGATCATGCGTATAAGCCTGACCACATTGTTATTAGTTTTGTGGTCTGGCATGTATTGAGGGCGTATGGTTGTTATTTTTATGACCTTGTGTTATGCTTTTGCTAAATAACATGATAAAGTATTTTCTGGTAAGCCTAGTCACATGGTTGTTAGTTTTTGAACTGTGGCCGAGTGTTATTTGTTATCCATGCTTATTTGTTTGATTGCATCTATTTACAATTAATATATAACTATATGGGTTAAGTGTAACTTGGTTACTAAGTGGTTGTACTCACCTCTCAATTCTCAATATTTTCAGGACCTAGCTCATCGGATTTGAGTTGGGGAAAACATACAGAGGCCTAGGATTTGTAGAGTAATCCTCTATATGCCTCTATTTTGTTACTTTCGTGTATATTTGTTAATGTAATTTCCAACTAGGATTATTTGACATAATTTATACACCACTTGCATGAGTTTGTATATAACTAGTGTATTTTGTGCCATAGGTTAGTGAGTTTTGGTCGTGAACCCATGAATAGAGCCAAAATACTTGTTCAAGTAAAAACATATGTATTTTGAGAAATTTGGAATGAAATTATTGATTTGTGCAATATTTCCTCCCCCTTTATGTTTTTGAAAATTAAGGTTGAGTTGTGATTCTATGATATAAGTTTTTTTGATTGTGTGTGGTGCATTGCACGAGTCCGCAATAGTCTATTGAGTATGGTCAGATGGTTGGTGTAATCAATTGGCACATGTGGTTGAGTTGGGACACCCCATTTATAGATTTTGTAAAAAAATGATCAAAATGGGTTTTGGTGTCCAACTTTATATAGAAAATGATTTTGAGCATGAAACCGGTGCTATTAGCTAGAGCTAGGAGAAAGCTTCGTATGGACACCAAAACCACCTCAATCGGATGTCGAATGGAGATTTGGAACGTGTCAGAAGTTCGCGCCCTATGCTGTCATATGACAGCACTGATGCTGTCAAATTTCATGCAATGTGCCATGACGCCTCACGCAGTGGTGCATGGCACAGAGAAGACACGCCATGGTGCACGAGCCATTTTCTACAAAGTTTGTTTTTGAGTATTGAAATTCATTATTTAGGTTCCAATTGATTTCCAAGCTTCCACTTTGTTTTCAAAACTCTAATTTGGAGTCATTAAATCATGTTTAAGATTTGAATTGTTGAAGATTGAGATTCATTTGAAAGAATTTTGAGAAATTTCTTTTATAAAACTTTACAATTTGGTAATCTTTGAGGGTTAAATCCTGGATTACCATGATTTGGAGTCAATTGCGGTTTAACCTCAAAGAGGTTACACATTCTCCTTTACCTGATCATTACCTTCTCGATCTTTGAGTGAATTGATAGTAGTAATGGAAAAACCATTTTCATTGTAATATGGCCATATATCTTCTTAATCTTACTCATTGAGGGGATCAATAATATCTCTCACTTAATGTGAGGGACAAATTTCATCTCGACCACTCATATTCCTCTACATGTATATTATTAAACTCAATCATAGCTTTTATGATCACTCAATCAAAGGTAATTTTTGACTAGGTCAAAGTTCAGTTATCATCATGTAGGAATCCATGATGATCTCAGGTCAAAGGGCTTAGTGATATAGTTACATATGAGATAAGCTTATGACTTGTACCATGCAGCTTTCTCATAGTAGGTCGGTCCAACACATTATACTCTTTCAAGTGCTTATGACTTTAATTTGTATCTTTATAATCAATTAAAGTCATACTAATCTTGTTTCATTTATAATTCCTTGTAGATGACCGATTAGGGACATTTAAAACAATCACTATAGTTTGTCTAATGATACAGTTATCATATTGAATATGCAATTATTATGATAACAAAAGAGAAATTGATTAAATAACAATGCGCATAGTACAATGATTGACCTTAGGGCACAATTTCTAACACCTAATGCTCCTAGCCTTCAAATAAAAAGTATTAATACTTAGTAAATAATAATGAATCGTACTGCTGTCTCTTCTGCTCTCAACTAGGAAACATTACTTGATTGAAGTTTGACGTGGAAAGCTATAGTGCTTTATAATCTTGAATGCTATGTGTGCTAATTTTATGTAGTTGGTTGGAGCAATTCGGCATCATTTTTTTCTAAATATGATTGCTGACATTCTCCTTTCCAGGTTTTTTATTCAAACTTGAAATTTTTTTTTGCTTTTTTTTTGCTTTGTGCTTACTTTTTATTATGTTAGACAGGTGGACTTCGCTCTTTCGAGTGCTGAGCTTTGGCTGCTTGAAGTCTTCTATCACAAAATATACAAGGTATGAGTATGCTTACTGACAAAATTGTTAGGAAATTTGGTAAAGAAACTTAATGCAGGGTTTACTTGTGATCTTCCAGTCCTGTGTGCGGATGCGGATGCTGTTCAAGGGTATCAATTTTTTATTATTACATGTTGATCCTATCCTTGCCTCTGTACGTCTTTCCCCGCACGGAGAAGATTAAGAACCTGAATGATCAATACTGAACGTTACGAGCAGAGGAGGTAGGATTCTCACCATTCGGTTGAGAAGTGATGGGAGAGGGGATAGCCTGAATAGTGAACATTATGAAATATTAAACTGTTATTGTATGACAGATAATTTAGGAGAATGATTTCTTAAAAGTATTGGACTGTTTTAATATTTAATTTTTGTTTCTTTTTAATGCCCCTCTCCATTTTTGGTTGTGTTCGAATTGCAGATTCCAGAAGAAGAGAAAAATCTTGGTCCTCATGATCGTCTGATTCCCGTGTACCATTTTACCAAGGGGACAGCTCAAAACCAAGTGGTAAATTTTTATCTTGTTCATTTTCCTATCTGCAATTTCTACTTTGATATTTGGTGCTGATATTTATATAGTATGCTCAATAACGTTGGATTCCATCTGAAATGCACAGGAAATTCAGAATTTTGGGAATCCCTTCCTTTTGGTCATGCATGAAGGTGACACTGTGGCTGATATTAAATTAAGAATACAATAGAAATTTCAAGTTCCACAGGAGGAGTTTGCCGAGGTATATTTCTTCTACCATGTATCCCAGGCTTCTGAACAATTTTTTCCTGATGTTGGGTGTTTTACTGACTAAAGAATTGAATGTTATATTTGATGTTTCTAAACCTTGCATGTTTTATCATTATTTTCTCTGTGGCCAGTGGAAGTTTGCATTTCTTTCACTGGGGCGGCCTCAGTACCTTCAGGAATCTGACATCCTCGATTTCAGGGGCATCCATGAACCTCCAGTAGTTTTTCTTTTTTGATAAATCAATCAAGTTCGTAGAATTGCTTGAATTGAATCGTACCATTAATTTTAATTTGTCAGCTTGACCTTATATTTACATTTTTATTGTAAAAAATTCTTATGATAGAGAAGGGAATTATACGGTGCTTGGGAGCAATATCTTGGCTTAGAGCATGCTGATAACGCATCTGACAGACCATAAACTGTTAATCAGGTTAGTTATCATTGCTTGAAAGGTTGGACTTCCTTATGCACATTGGCTATCTGGTACCAGTCAGGGTCATAACTGATGGTGCAATCGGTATTTATTATTGGGTTGATGTATGGGTTGGTTACTCCATATGAATTTTTATACGGGTTATGTTTTTCCAGAATCGCCACACGTTTGAGAAGCCAGTAAATATTTGTAGGTAGAAAACCAATATTGATGAGTTCTTTTGCTACGAAGGATGAATTTGGCCTTCTAAATAAAGGAATGGGCTTGTAAAGACCGCAACCACAGCAGGAGGATACCCTGTATAGGCAACAAGTGAGATGAATCAGCATTGGAGATCGTGTCTGCTATTCTAACTTTTGTGGTTATGTAATTCTCTGTCCAAGGAGTGACATTGCCCCAAACACCTTGTATCTGCCGACCACAGCCTCTTGAGCCTTTTACTTGCTACTTCCGTTTTTACATGGAGGTTCTCCCGATCACGTTATATTGTGTGCACGCTTTGGCAAGGGGGGGTAAAACAAAAGAGAAAAGAGGAAAGGTTAAAGGAAGAAAAGGGGACCGTTCTTTGGAAAGGAACATCACAGAAAACTCCAGGCACTTGGTTGCACCATAAAGCTTTATAGTTGGGAATGTCACAACCAATCAAGTTTTGATTGTATGACACATAGTAGGGGACCAACTGGTTTTTTATTGAACAATGGGAAATCTGGCTGCAAATTACTAATGTTTTTTTTTTTAATTGAAAAACCTGATTCCAATACTGCTTGGTTACTAAATATTATTCATGTTGCTTGCATATCTATACCTTTCCTTCTCAGCAACGTTAATCTATTAGGATTTATTTGTCACCGGTGTACTTGAATTGAACATAGCCCATTTAAGCAGATCATGAGCAGATAATCTACCAGCTTTCGAAACTTGATAGTGAATTCCTCTAGACTTCCATCTCTTTTTCTTTTTCTTTTTTGCGATATTTCCTGGGTTTTAATTAATTGGTTTATTTCGTTCAGGGTGACATGTCAATGACCGCATCACATTAAAGTTGTCAGAGGTTATTACAACATGACCTCAAATTTATGAAAGTTTTTTGCTCAATAAAAGATTTTTGGGAGATGGGATTCATTCTTAACGCATCACATTCTATGTGTAGTAGGTTATTTGCATAAACTAAAATTTTAAAGAAATTATCTGTCAAGCTTTTGCAAACAATATAATTTAAATAAGCTATTATATGAATGAAGTAGATTATAATAAATTTATTCAATTTTATCTTAATCACATTCAGATTATATTATATCACTATTTAAATATATGAGTAGTGTGTTTTTATTATTTTTTGCCATAATTTAAACTTAAATTAAATAAATATAAAAGTATCAAGTATTTAGATAACAATTCCATGCATGCTTGCTTTGAATGCTTTATTTTAAACTTCTTTATTTTAAACTAAATCTCATTTATTTATTTATTTTTGTCTATTTTTTAAAATATAAAGGTTAGCCCGCTAAGGGTTCAAGTTATATGGGGCAAGCCAAAACCGCCTCACATATAATTGAACCCATTTTCTTTACCCAGACTTGTAACTTTTTTGCAAGTTGGCTGGTTGAGCCTACAAGCCCAACCCATATTACTGACTCTACTTAGAGGTATGATCGATGAAGTTTTTTTGGCTTTATTGGTTACCTAAGAATTTGGGTGCATCTCAAACCTGCTCCACTGACCTTTATTGTGATAGTGAAAATGCTATAAAGACCCATATGATGATAATGATGTGTTTCATGAGACAACTAAGCATATATGAAAATGCAAAAATTTCTAACCTATTGACGTGGCATGAGAATTAAAGGATTATGGCAAGTTTTGGTACCCTACAGATTCTTTTCAATGGAAAAAAATTGATCCAAATTGTTTTTATTTTTCTTGCAGTCTTGTTTTCTACTTGACGAGACTCATAAACCATGTATCCTTATAAAAGCCAGGGTTCTTCTAAGAAAACTCCATGCATATATTTGCAAGTGGTACTTAATAGATAATAATGGATATACCATTGAATACCCATCGAAGATTTAGGAAAGGAGACTATCTCAAGAAGTTTAGGATGAATTTGTTTTAATACATACAATTGAAGAATTTAGGGTAATGCTTGATTTTTCCAATTAAATATAGTTTTACCTATACATAACTAATTTGAATAATTTAGATGAAAAGCAAGTGATATTGTGAATTAGCAAAAAGCTAAAAATACCACTTTAGTAGGGGATAAAAAGGATATGCATTCGTTGAACAAGACAAAGTGCATACCCTATATTCAATAATTATTACATGCATCTATTATATATGTTTTGATTGATTTATGAATTTTAGTTAAGTGTTTTAATATGTAAATCACAGAAGATAATTTAGATTGCGAACAACTTTCATGCCATAAAGTGTGGGTTGAATGAAAACTAAACTCAAAAGGTGAAATTAAAGATGAAGGCCGCTGTGAGGCAAGTTTAGCAGACTTTTGTTTATAATTTTGTTGAAGATACTTTACACCTGATTTTGTGAGTTTCAGTAGATATTTGCACTAATGCTGAGGCTGATTTACTAATACCTCTTAATGATGATATTATATTAGTTAAAGATGCTGAGAGAACTTTTGTTGTGTGGCCTCTAAATTCAAGGCAGAAAGCGATTTGAGGAAGGAGGGCAATGGTTAATGAAATTTCTACATTAGATGTCTCACATAAACTATGGGATTTAACAAAGAGTTTAAATTTATTATTGAAAAATTTTAGTTCTATTAATTCCCTTTCTTCTACTAATAATTCTCTTCATACAGGTTGTGATAGGTGACTATGTGGAGAAAGATAATTATATAGGAACTAGTACTGATCGAATTAATCTTAGAAATGATCCCTACTCTAACACATACAATCCAGGGTGGAAAAATCATCCAAATTTCTCTTGGAAAAATTACACCACTCAAAAGCCACAAGCACCACCAGGCTTTTAACAACAAAGAAATACAATTAAAGATCGTACAACAAAATTGGAGGAAGCTTTGGCTCAAATGGCAAATTACCAAGTGAATAGTATGAAGAGTATGAATCAAGAGATTGACTAACTTAAACAAGAAGTCGCTTCAACACAATCTTCTATGAAGAATATGGAATCACAAATAGGTAATTCTATGAAAAATATAGAAACCTAAATAAGCAACTTGGCTAACTTACTCACTGGGCATAGTCAAAATAAGTTCCCTAGCAATACTGAAGTTAATTTGAGGGAAGGAGTCATGGTAGTCACCTTACAGAATGATAAAGAACTCCAGGAGGTTGATAATGAGGCTAAAAGGATAAGCAAATAGAAAAATGATGAAGATGAGGTAATTGAGATGCTTAAAATTAATATTGCAACTCAAAGTGGCCATTCTTCTTCTAAAAACAAACTTATATACCCCTATTCCATGCCCTGAGTGCCTTAAAAAAAAGATCTAGATTTAAGCTTCCAAAGATTCCTTGATATGTTTAAAAAAATTCAGATCAATATTCCTTTTATAGAGGCATTAGTAAATATGCCTAGTTATGCCAAATACATCAAGGAGCTTGTTTCAAACAAAAGGAGGTTGAAAGAATATGCCACAGTGGCACTTATAAAAGAGTGCTGTGCAATTCTACAAAAAAAGCTACCACCTAAATTGAAAGATCCAAGGATTTTTACTATTCCTTGTGACATTGGTTCAAATATTATTAAAAATTGTTTGTGTGATTAAGGTGCTAGTATTAATTTAATGCCTTATTCTTTATACAGGAAACTTAGGATGACAGACATCAAGCCAATCAATGTTACTCTTTAACTCACAGATAGATCATTTAGATATCCAAGAGGTGTAGTTGAGGATTAATAGTAAAAGTTGGTAAACTTTACATTCTTGCAGATTTTATTATTTTGGACATTGAGGATAGTTGGAACGTCTCTCTAATTTTAGGAAGATCATTTTTATTAACTGGCGGAGCCTTAATTGATGTACCTACAGGAAAATTAATTTTCAGAGTTGGTAACGAAAAGGAAGTGTTTCAAGTAGCTAAAGCTGTTAAATTCTCCTCTTTTGATGAAACTATTTTTAGCATTGATATTATTGATACCCTTGCCTAGGAACATTTTAACATGTACTCATACAGTGATCCCCTTGAGGCATGCATTGCACTAAACATAAGTGAAAAAGAAGAGGATGAGCATGATTTTATAACAACAATAATGAGTTTGGAAGCTTTTGAAATTGAAAATAAATATTATAGGAAACAATATGAAGATTTAGGAATAGGCAATTTATTGCCCTTAGCTTCCCCAAACTCACCACCCTTTGTTGAATTAAAACCTCTTCCCTCCCATTTAAAATATGTTTTCTTGGGTGATTCTAATGCTTTTCCTATCATAGTTTCTTCTGCATTAACTTTTGAATAGGAAAATAAACTATTGAGATTCTTAAGAGAATTCAAGCATGCTATTAGATGGTCTACTACTAACATAAAGGGTATTAGTCCCTCCATTTGCATGCATAGAATTCTCATGGAGGAAAATTACATGCCAAAGGTTCAACCACAAAGAAGACTCAACCCTCATATGAAAGAGGTAGTTAAAGAAAAAGTTTTAAAATTGATTAAATCTGGTATTATTTATGATATCTCTGACAGCCCTTAGGTAAGTCCTGCGTAAGTAGTTCCTAAGAAGGGAGATACAACTGTTGTGAAAATGATAAGGATGAGCTTATTCCCACAAGAGTAGTTACTGGGTGGCGCGTATGTATAGATTATAGAAAATTGAATGAAGCAATGTGCAAAGATCACTTTCCTCTTCCATTAATAGATAGTATGTTAGAAAGAATAGTAGGGCATGCTTTTTATTGTTTTCTAGATGGTTACTTTGGGTATTTCCAAATACCACTAGTACCAGAGGACCAAGAAAAAACAACTTCTGCCCCTATGGTACTTTTGTTTATCATATGATGCCTTTTGGGCTTTGTAATGCCCCTGTTACTTTTTAAAGATGTATGATGGCTATATTCTCTGATATGGTAGAGGACATAATTGAAATTTTTATGGATGATTTATCTATATTTGGTAATACTTTTGATTTATGTTTAACTAATCTTTCTAAGGTTTTACAGAGATGTCAAGAGACTAACCTTGTGCTTAATTGGGAAAAATGTCACTTTATGATAAATGAAGGTATAATTTTAGGCCATACAGTTTTGAAAGAGGAATTGAAATGGATAAGGCAAAAGTGGAAATTATTGAACATATGCTCCCACCTACCTTAGTGAGAAGTATAAGGAGTTTTCTAAGTCATGTAGGCTTTTATAAAAGATTTATTAAAGACTTTTCTAAAATTGCTAAACCTCTTACTAACCTCCTTGTGTAAGATACACCTTTTGTATTTGACAAGGTTTGTTTAGATGCATTTAATAAATTAAAATCTGTATTAATTTCTACTCCTATAGTTGTTTCCCTAGATTGGAGTCTTCCTTTTGAAGTTATATGTGATGCGAATGATTTTGTAATAGGGGTTGTGTTAGGACAAAGAAAAGATAAACACTTACATGTCATGTATTATGCTAGTAATGTCTTAGATGGAGCACAACTTAATTATGCTACCATTGAAAAGGAATTTTTAGCTGTAGTCTTTGCATTTGAGAAATTTAGATCATATCTCTCTTGTTCTAAAGTAACAGTATATACTGACCACCAAGCTTTGAAATATTTGATGAATAAAAAAGATACTAAAGCTAGGTTAATTAGATGGGTTCT